GCTACAAGTCTCGTATCTGGTGGTGGAGCTGAGACAAGCAACGGCGCTTGGCCAGAAATCCTCAGGCATGGGTATGCCTTCTCTCCTTTTTCTACCCACCCTCTTCCAATCTTTTCTTGTACAATTATTATTAAAATATTAAATTATAAAAATATAAATAATAAAATTTAAATCACTAAAATTTAATAACAATAATTTAAAAATATAGTAAAAGTAAAATGAAATGAAATATTTTAAAGGTGATCAAATTTAAATTGTTCAAAATCTTAATGCAATGATTAAAAGTTAAAAAGAAAAGGAAAAAGGATGGAAAGAAAGAATCCTCTCCTCGGGCATGAAGGTACCGTACCGAAAGTAGGGAGAGTTAGAAGGAAGATGGATATTTTTGGGAGAGTGATGAAGAGAGTCCAGATGGGTTACGGAGATTGGTTAGAAGGGACGGCGTGTTTATTCAGGAGAGAGGGTTGAGAGATCAGATCGAGAGTCACCAACCCTTATGCGCTTTCTTCAGCCAATATTGAACACATGTTGAAGAGATACTCGCAAGAGACGAAACAATCCAAAGTTACTGTTTACTGGGGAAGTGTGCTGGAAATGGAATACATTTCTATTATACGTTGATCATAATCTATCTCATTCAATTTTGCGGGAGAATATGCACATCTAACAAAATTCCTGTGTCTAAAAGTAAAAGAATAAACCATTCTCTGTCAACGAGCGACCTGACTTCTCATAGCACCTCTCGAAATGGATGAACAGTACTATTGACATGAGCGCGATTGTTTAAGCTTTTTTTTTTTTAATTGAAAAATCACTCTTTCTTTTTTGGGAAAAAGTCTATTTTCTAAAATTATATTATATTTGTTTAAATCTTTGACAATAGTCAAAATACAAAAAGTAATAAATTTTAGATTATTATTTTGAGAGGTTACTTTGAATGAAAAGTACATTCACACTACTGAGATTATTAATGTCCTGACTTGATAATAGAAAATCGAGGCCTATCATGTTATTGGAATTGCTCCAATTTAAAAAATTACTTGTTACCTAAAAAGAAAACAAAAATAAAGAGAATTGAGAGTAGGAAGCATGTAGAATGGCGGGGAAGAGGGAAACATATATTTTGGGCAAAAGGGAAAATAATAAAAGTAAAGAAAAGGTTTTGAATATTTTGGGCGGTAGGATCGGGAAGGAGTGGGGGTTCACTTCACCCATTGGAGGTGATGAACGAAGAGAAACGAATTAACAAGCAGGCTCTGCCCCTAAATGAGTAAAAAGGAAAGAAAATAAAATCCAAAAACAACAACAAATCCCATATATTTTGAAACATTGTATATTCTCATCATTCCTATTCCATCTATTGCACTTGTATTGTACTCCTTCGGTCCTTCCCACAACACTCGTCATACTATCCTTGCTCTCACAAGTCACTCGATCACGTAACGTTCCGTTATAAATACCCACTCACAATTCTCGAGCTCCAAGGCTGTCAATCATAGCTTGGCTTCTTCAAAGATCAACCATGCAGAGCCCTAACAGCTCTCCTTCCCCCTCCCCCTCCCCCAAACACCCTCCCTCTCCCGCCTCTAACACCAATACCGATAATCCTCCTGCTGCTCCGGCCGCCGGAGATAAAGGAAAAGGGTTGTCCAAGAGCACCTTGAGGATCTCTAGCCACGGTTCCCCTTCCCATGCCGACGCGGCCTCACCCGAGGATTTACATGTACCTATCCGGGAGTTGGTCGCTCTGGGTTCGGGCCAGGGCGGGTCTGCGGCGAAGCATGTGGACGAGCCCGTGATGGCAGGCCGGTCGAAGAAGATTAGGCTGCATCTGAAGCGCAAGCCCGCGGTCGCTTCTGCTTCCCCGGGCTGTCCCATTTGTCTATTCTGTCTCCGGCGCTTCTCCACTCGGGCGGACTTGCTCGACCATCTTCAAACGGAGCACTGCACGTCACATGAACAAGGTATAATCAAACATGGTGTAGCACTACGTGCTACTAGCTAGCTAGCTAGGACGTCGTTGCATTTTTTATGATCCTACTTGTACTTCTTTCCGTTTGCTTCTTCTGCTCTTCTTATATACATGTGCATATCCCGGGAAAAAAAAGGTTAACAGTTTCCTGATCGACAATCTCACACATGTATTATTCGATCTATCTGAGTTGCACTATATATAGTTGCTTCGCGCGCCTGCAATGGAATTAAGTATTGAAGTGAATATTTGAGAGATTTTATGTGTGTTAGGTGAAGGTAAGGGTGGAGGAGACAGCGGTGCTGCGAAAAAGAGCCAGGAGGGTTCATCTGCTGCGACCGAAAGGAATGATGGATTGGATCTGAACCGGCCAGCAAAGGAAGTGCAGGTTTCTGATGAGACAATTGATGGCCCTCGTAAGAAGTTTCGATTTGACCTCAATGAGTTGCCTCCAGAGGATGAAGAAGATGAGAACTGGCCCTAAGCTACATTAGACCTCGCAGGCTGTCTTATATATATATATATTATATATATTCCTATCTCTGTGTTTGATTTTAATTTCATTTAATTTCCTGAGATTTAAGTTCACGTTCTATCTCTTCAATTTATATGGTTCAGGAAAGACTGTTCAAATATATCAAACTAGCTATTTGGGTTCCATAAGCACACCTGTTTATAGTCTTGGTATAATCCTGGGTTTGGTCCAAGCGATCCTTAATCAGAATGCTATTATTGTATGTATGCTAGCTGGTTTCCGTTATAGGTCGATCTTGGTTTTGAACTCGAACTGGAACTCAATTAAATATCAAATTGAATGAGGTGGCATGATATAAAAGTGAGAGAGCTTTCACATTAGGTTGGAAATCCCAACCCAAAGGATGAAGAAATGTTAATGGAGATCCTCTCCACTTTAATTTTCAATATTCTCGTTAAGATCAAGCACATAAAAGTGCGTTTAGAATCCCCGCCATATATTGCCTGCCGAGTGCTGATCAATTTGCAACCGAGCAGATATATAGCCAATGGACGTAACCATATCCAAGTAATGGTACCTAGCCCGTAAAACTTGAAACAACAAGTCTTGTGTATTTATCTACTTCAAATTCAGGATAAGTCACCATATTGTTATGAAAAATTAATTATTTTGATATCATTTCGTTTGAAGACTCGTCTCATGACTTTTATCGTGCCTTGCTTGAAAATGAGTAGTTCATGAAAAAAGAACATACGATCAGAGATTCAGAGTGAACGGAAAAATGATATTAAAAAAAAAAATATTACCCGTTCCTGTGCCACCCGTTTACTACTAGTATCCTTCAATAAATCAAATTCTCGTCTGATTTCACTTACAATTAATTGAAATATTAGGAAACTAATCAAAAATTTTCCAAAATGAAATAAATTACAGAAAAATTGTGCAAAACGAAAGTACAGTTATATTAACAATATGGTGAAATCAATTTATTTCTTGAAAATTAAATACTAGAAGAAACGTGTGCATTTTTTTATTATATATATATATATATATATATAAAATATTTTACGTAGGTTCTTATCTTTATTGTCAAAAAACTCTCTTACATATACAGGTTAACATTTCTTTCTTAGCAAGTCTCTTTCAGCTACATAATTGATTAGGGGAACACCTGAACAATATAAGGGCACAGAGAACATGTTTTACGTAGGACATGATCCATTCAAAAAGTAATGATATCAAATTCAGAGAGTCTGAACATTCCGCCTTAGAGAGGAGTAAATAAAACATTCAATTAATCCTCTTTTTAAGTCAAAGCTAATTGAGGTAAATTTTTATGCGAATATAGCCTTCTCTCCATTATATACGTAAATACGTGTTGTAATTAGGAAGAGCAAATGTGAGTTACGTTCGTATATCATCTTTAAATCCCTCTCTTTCTCGGACTCCTAATTCATACCAGGAATGTGATATCTCCTATATATTATATATAACTGAGAATCCATATATTTAATGGGGGAAATCCCAGTAGATTTGTTACATACATTACACACTTAATTTCACTTTAAAGGTTCAGCTGCAGCTCAATGTGACACTGGGCGATTTGCTTTTCTCGGAAAGAATAGAAGAAATGCATGCTTTTTTAGGAAAGGAGAGAAAACCCATTAAACTCATACATACGTGTACGAATGCATGCATGTTCATATATTCAGAATATAATCTTCCCTTTTTGATAGCTGCTCTTGTAAATCTTATAACTTAAATGCAGGTTCATATAATTACTAATTTCACGTGAACATAAAACAATTAAATAAAATTTATTTAAAAATGCAAACAAAAAAGTAATAAAAAGCTTCTAAAAAGTGATGTGCTCATTTTTGTGATTGGCTGTGAGCACACAAAAGGAGGGGAGCCAGGAGAAGTGGTACGCGAGACGGTGAGAGATTCATCAGCGAGCAGGATGGGAAAAGAAGAGATATTGATGACTCGCAACAAAAAAAAAAGACTCGCAACCAAAAAAAAATAAAATTGTTGTTGCTTTTGTAGCAACGCATGCAACAGCAAGACTCCTCTCGCAGTCCCACCCACGATTTCATGAATGTTATCACTCATATCTTATAAATTATATGACTTCTTGTAAATTTTATATTGAATAACCTATTTAATGTACTAATGATTTTATCTCTGCATGCAATATTTGTAATAGCACTTTGACCTCAATGTAATTTCATCGCCAACACTCTCACTACGCCGAGTATAAGTAAATTATTCGAAGCATATGTTAGGTGCAGAAACAAATAAAATTTTGTCTAATCGTGGACTAAAATGTGAATGCGAGTACAAATGTTGAAGAAATCAAAAGAAATAATGGTTTTGTCCCCCTTGTAACTTGGATCGTGGGGTTGTCCACGAGAGCAGGTCGCTGACCCGTGGGGTCCTTCCACATGTGAAGACACCATCATCGTCCGGCACTTGTTCGGCTGAACCAGTCGAAGATGTTACCTGTTCCGTTTGTTTCGGAGTTTGGCCATAGCCATCCCGTGCTTGCGACGAGGGGTCCACACATGCTCTACCTTACCCGTGTATTACTATTACCTTCTCAGAAGGGGGACATAGCCTGCTTTCACGCTCATCTTTTTGCCTCTCGATCGTATTTCGGTTACTCTGACAACAAACTTTCTAGTGTCAGGTGACTTTCTTCTCCTTGTCTTATGCATTTTCGTGGAACGTAGGAAAGCTTCACAAATGAATGGGCTTCATTTCATGTTTTTGGTGGAAATTGTTTAGATTGACTCAATTTATCTAGTTTGAGTACTCTGAGGTTAGTGCTACCTCAGTTGATCTGGAACTCATACAAATCCAAGTAATGATCCATTGATTTGGATTTGTTAATAATAAATCTCAAGCTTGACTTTTTTCTTTTGTTCCTTTTTCTTTTCTTTTTTTGCAAATGCACGTTTTTCTTCACTAAGTAATGAGCATGAGTGTATGTTTCTGTTGTTTGTAGCGAGCTGGGATTCCAGTAATGATGGACAAGGCAGATTCTGAGACAGATTCGAAACAAAAGTTGTACACGCGTATGCGCCTTTGGGAATATCCGGATCAGTATGTCATTGAGCCCTCGGATGGCTCTTTTGGCTCTTCTTTGTCTGTTAGTCGAAAGGATGGCTCGATGAAGCTCATTGGTTGGCTATTTCGTGTTTTCTGTCTTAGGCTTGATGCTATGCAGCACAACATTTTCTCTTTCCCTTCCCCTCCTCTTAACGCATTCCTTTTTCTTATCTATTCCTTTTTGCTTTGCCAGATGAGATTCCACACTACAGCTCCCTTCGAGTTCCTAAAATCTGGAAAATTTTTGGTGTGGTTGGGATGTTGAGGTTTTTGAGTGGTAAGCGCTAAGCATTCTTAGGAGCATAGCCACATAAACCATGATTTGAGGGTTAAAGGTATAATTCATATGTCAAAGTGATAATTTATGTTTTTTTTTTTTATTGTCAATCATAACATCATGCCTTGTATCTGTGTTCAAACCCATTCATATGATTGCTATAATGTGAAGGAGATTATGCCGGGGATCAACAAGAAACAAATAGAGAATAAGATTCCAAGGACGAATTAAATATTATGTTGCATGCAAAATTGCACGAATGGTACCTGTAGTTCATTCATCATCGTAGTTCGTGCACTAGGTCCCCAGCTTTTTCATTGCTTGTATTTTTGACTTTGGTCACGATAGCTAAAGGCAAGGGTGTGCAATTTTCAGTTCCAATTCGGTTTTGCACACCCCTAGCTAACAATATGGTTTTGTAAATGTAATTTTACATGTCTTAACCTTGGCTTGGGAAAATTTATTGACGCGGACTCAAATTAGGTCTATCACTTCGACGCCGATATACTTTACTATGCTTCCAGGTTCATATTTGATGGTTGTAACTCAGTATGAAAATGCTGGATCTTATTTGGGGCATCCAATTTTCAAAATTTCATCCTTGAAGACCTTTCCTTGTAATAATTCTCTTGAGAATACTCCTGCTGAGCAGGTAAGCTTATAACCAAAAAAAAAAAAGGAAAAGAAAAAATAAAAAACAGCGACAGAAAAATTTGATCTCATGTTCTCCAGCAGTTTTGGGACTAAAGAACTACTGTTGGACTATCTCTGGCAGAAGAAGACAGAGATTGAGTTCTCTGGGCTGCTAAATGTTGCAGAGAGGACTTCTGGTCTGTTCTTCTCATATGCCATCAATTTAACCCTGAGGTGAACTTCTTTGGATATTTTTGATTTGTAACTACGTCCGGAATATCATGATAATGAGATTATCGATTTACTGGCTTTGTGAATACGTAAACATACACAGCTGTGCATAAAGTAAGGAAGCAGTAATAATTCTGAGTTTGATTCGTAAGAGAGTGCAACATCTAAAGCTAATGTAAGAGACAAGTCTAGAACACCTTTCAAATGCACTTTGGATGATACTGCATTAGTCTTTGATGTTAAATGTCTAGAGCCTACTAACCCATACATGTTTGATACTGCATGAGCCATTGATATTAAATGGATAAAGCGTACAAATCAGTACATGTTTGAGTGTTATCTTACACAAGTGGCATTCATACTGCAATTTCAAAAGTGTCGGCATGTAAGTGAATGTGAAATACATATATTATAATCCTAGGAGATTATGGATGTTTACATTTTAAAAGCAGAGCTTATTACGAGGATAGGGACTTTCTCATAAGGAAAAAGTTCCTTATTCTTATTGAGGGAAAATGAATTTTCAAATTGCGTCATCAGCATCATATTGACTGTTGATATTATGTGGTGCAGTGTCCAGCGAATGCATGATCTGGGGGCTCAGTCTAGATGTGTTCCTCTTTGGAGGCAGGTAATATACAATGTCTATTGTTTACAGTTAACGTTTTGTTTAAGATACTTCTATCACAAGAGCGCAAAGTGCCTCCTTCATAGGCTGTTTCCGTTATTATTCATTGGCCCATACTTCTTGCTGCCTATTTAGACAATGTCTACTATAGGATGATTCTTTCTGCACCTTTTGTTTCCCTTTATTATTATGCTTATGCCACCACCAAATATTTTGTCACAGGCAGAGCCTCGATTTCTCTGGAACAATTATATGCTGGAAGTCCTCATAGAAAACAAGGTGGGTTTTGTGGACAAATTAGTGTTAGTTTCTAGTATTCCCCCCTTTCTTCATTACCTATACATTTTATAATACCAACTAATATGTGTGGTCCTGATCTTTCAGCTTGATCCATACATACTGCCCGTTGTCCAAGGAAGTATACTTATCTCCATGTTAAATTAACCATTTTAGGTTGTTGTATCCTACTGACACGTGTTTTTCTGTTTGAATTTTGGTTTGACCATATCACTTAGCAACTTATGTTCAAGGTTTCTCCTTAACCAATCATTAGGCTTTCATCACTTTCAATGAGCAATTGGCAAGGACATAATTGACATCACTTTAATTGCAAGGAGATGCTCGAGAAGAAATGGTATTCATTGTTTGATAAAAATCTCATTATTTCCATCTTATATGTGACTTCGTATGTTGCATTCGTTTATGAGCTTTTATTATTTACAGCATCCATATCCTTTAGGCCAAGAAATATTTAAATGAATGCACTTATTAATTTGGTGTTGATAACCAATAATGGTAGCAGCCATTATGAAAAAATTACTGTTTTTTTTCCCCCAGAATTTTGACTGATTGCTCTTTCCTTTGTTTCATGCTAATACATTGATTTATTTTCTGAGATATGAAATTTAATCTACAAATGTATGTGTCAAAACTTTACCATTTGTGGCTGCTTAGTAAAAGCACTAACATATTAAGAAATATTCTTTTGCGGATGCTTAGTTGTATAATATTTTTTTCTTTTAAATGTTGTGTTGAAAATTGAAATAGCTTCACTTTTGTTCATTGGTTGGTCAAATAATGGTTTTAAATACAAGTCGCATTTTTTGAAAGGAACTCGGATGTGGAGAAGAGGAGCTGACTCTGATGGTTATGTTGCTAATTTTGTGGAAACTGAGCAAATTACGCAGATTAATGGGCATACAGCTGCGTTTGTTCAGGTAACACTTAGATTATCACGTGACAACCATACGGTGGGCTTGCTCTGTCAATTTTTTATGAGCTGGCTGAATAATTTGTTATTTTACATTCAATAAATTTAAAAAAAAAATGTTTCATTTCAGATCTGGAATTAGTACAATGTAATTCCTCCAAATTACTGGTACTGAACTTTATGAAGCTCTAGCCAATCATAGGAAAAGCCTTATGGCCAGCTTTTTGGCCTGTGGGGGCATAAAGAAGCCGTTAAATTGTTATAAATGACACTTGGTTACAAAATTTTTGGCTCTGCTAGGTGATAGTGCAACTGGGAAGAGTGGCAAGTGAAAGAATGTGGATAACAAATGAAAAGTGCTAATGCTTTCGTGGTGGAGGTATACAAATTTGAGGAAGCAATATTAAGATTATTACCGATTTAATCCTGTCATCAACAATATTTTAAATTAGAAAGCAGTCAAGAAGGATAATTAGGGATACAATACAAGTAGGTCATTTGTGGTGAATAGAGACAAGAAGATTATACATTACCAGGCTCCAAATGCAATAAGCGACGATGGCTTTAAGAGCATTATGCACAATTATCTTTAGGTCTATTTGACTTTGTCAAACACGGGTCTATCTGGAGAGAATTTTTTGTATTAGCCATCATCTTAACCAGAAGCTGAGGTCATAGTTTCTGAGTGGATACATCTTTCTTTGAAGTTAGATCAGCAGTCATAATTGTTTAGTTTATTCACAAGTGCACGACAGTTTGGATAAAGCCAAACTGGGAAAGCTGGGATGCTTGCTATCAAATTTGTGAGATGGATGTTAACTGTCTTTAATTTATGGATACTAGCAATAGCATGTCATTCAAATCATCTATTTAAATTCATAAAATGTAAAAACGCCTAGTGGTCAAACAAAGGATTTTCCTATAAAGATTGGACTACATCAGGGATCATCTCTGAGTCCTTATCTGTTCAATTTGATCTTAAATGTTTTGACGGAACATATTCAAGGAGAAATTCTCAAATATATGCTCTTCGCAGATGATATAGTTCTTATAATAGAGACAAGAGAAGAGGTTAATTGCAAACTTGAGTTATGGAAGAGGATATTGGAGTCGAAAGGTTTCCGTCTGAGTAGGAGTAAGACGGAATATTTATATTGTAAATTTGGTAAGAAACTATTCGACAATAATTTGGAAGTAAAATTGGGAGATCAAATTATACCTCAAGTGGAAAAGTTTAGATATTTGGGAGCCATTATTCAAAATGATGGCGAAATCAGTGGAGATATTTCACATAGGATTCAAGCTGGGTGGTTTAATTGGAGAAAAGCTAAAGGAGTTATTTGCGACCGTAAGGTGCCTAATAAACTTAAAAGAAAGTTTTATCGCACTGCTATCAGACCGGTAATGTTATATAGTAGTGAATGCTGGGCTTTAACGGGACAGCAAGAGCATAAAGTTGGAGTAGCAGAGATGAGAATGTTACGATGGATGTGCGGACATACACGTAAAGATAAAATTTGAAATAAGCACGTACGCGAAAAAGTGATGGTAGCACCTATTGAGAAAAAAATGGTAGAAAATCGGTTGAAATGGTTTGGGCATGTACAAAGAAGACCAAGGGAGGCACCAGTGAGAAGAGTGGAGCATATAACTTTGAGTCCGATTAAGAGGGGTAGAGGAAGGCCTAAGAGAACACTCTTGGAAGTTGTTGAACGCGATCTCTTAATTAATAATATTCCTAAAAGCTTGATAAATGATAGAGCACAATGGTGTCTTGCAATCCATGTAGCCGACCCCACCTAGTGGGATAAAGGCTTGTTGTTGTTGTAAGATCTCTTGTTGTTCTTTGACAGGTTCGTGGTTCAATCCCATTGCTCTGGGAGCAAATTGTTGACTTGACATATAAGCCCAAGGATGAGTTGGTAAAAGTTGAAGAATCTGTAAGTGGTTATTGATTGTTGAGTTTTTATGTTTTTACAATCTAATACTTTCTTTTGTATCTGACTACTATTGTATTGCCTATGATGCAGCCTCGAGTAATGGAGCGTCATTTCATAGATTTAAGAAAAAAATATGGGGCCGTGTTAGCTGTTGATCTTATCAACAAGGTGAATATTCTTTCACTGCATAATTGCTTTACTAGTATGTATTATTACTTATGCGCTGTGCAATTTTTTATGGATGTATTTTTTGTGAATATATCTTACGCATCAGCATTCATCTATATTAGTGCATTTTCCTTTCCCCCTTGAATCTTATCAGCATGGAGGAGAGGGGCTGCTGAATGAAAAGTTTGCAGATACAGTGCAGTCTGTCGTTAGCGATGATACAAGGTATTAACTTTTAAATTGATGCTTTTAACTTTATCTTTGGTTTTATTCGATTTGGTTCTCTTGCATATCACCTCTCTTCCCCCTTTGTTTTTTGGTAGATACCTGCACTTTGATTTTCATCATATCTGTGGGCACATTTATTTTGACCGCCTTGCCATCCTTTATGATCAAATTTCGGATTTCCTTGAGAGAAGTGGGTATGGATTTCCTTTCTAGTTAAACTTCCCGATGTTGATTTACTAGGAAATTTAGTTTGTCTTATGATTCACACTTGCATTGCTCGGTATCCTCCAAGGAGAGTTATTCATGAACTTATAGTCTTTAAACAAAGGCCAACAACTTGTAATACTACTTTTGCTATGCTGCCTAATGTTGAATTACCTGCTATCGCATTTTGGATAATTATTAGTCATGATGTCAGATAGATGTATCAAATTCTATCTGCCAGATATATGCACCTGTTTCACTTTGTTGTGGTATAATTATTAAAATTTGCTGACTTGTAATTCTTCATAATGGCTAGCTTAATCAGATTCGTAAATAGAAACTTGACTTGTTTATTGCAATTTTGTTTTGGAATTTTAGTTATCTTCTGATGAATGAAAAGGGTGAGAAAATGAAGGAGCAAAGTGGAGTTGTCAGGACCAATTGTATTGATTGTCTAGACCGAACAAATGTAACTCAGGTTGGTATGTGCATGCCAGGGCAAGTGATTTGTGTATTAGCAATTGTACAGAAAACACGTGAACTTTTCTTCCGTATTATTGAGCACTCTAGTTTTTTGATGTTAGATGTTCTACAGTTATTTGTTCTCAAAATTTCCCAAAAAAAAAAAAAAACAACGGAGGAATTGAATATATTTGTCATCTATCCTGTGACTCGGATTCCCCCCTCCCCCAAAAAATAAAGTTCTGGAACTAGAGATGCGTACACTCTTAGCATTGGTCAAGTAGGTTTAAACCTAACATTATATGTGTGAATGCATGTGTTATGTTGACATATAACAACTACCAATATCATGATTATTTTCAAGTCGACTACGTATTGTTTCTCACATCATTTTCCTGCTCAATAATGTTTCAATATGATTCCAGAGCATGATAGGCCGAAATATGTTAGAAAATCAGCTTAGAAGGCTTGGTGTCTTTGGTCCTGAAGAAACCATTAGTTCGCATCCAAATCTAGATGAAAGCTATAAGATCTGTAAGTATATTATTAATTTCGAAGTTGTTTGTCGGAGTTATATATTCTCTGTACTATCTTTATCTGTTACATTAAAGTTTACACGGTTTTATAGAACATAAAAGCCTAGAGATCATTTCTAATTGATTCTCCCTGATCAGTATGGGCTGACCATGGCGATGATATAAGCGTTCAATATTCTGGCACTCCTGCTCTGAAAGGAGACTTTACCAGGTATTTTCTCCCTAAATCTGTCAATAGATGTCTATGTTCTTCATGCCTAAAGAAGGTAGAGAAATTGTGCATCCTTAAAAGAAGTTTGTTTCCTGTTGAATTCACAGTAGCATGACTAAAATTGTTATTATGCTTGTAATTGTATTGTCTGAAATGATGATGTATTACTTTTGACAGTAATAGTAGGCTCTATAATTTGTAGGAATTGAATTTGTCGCTTCATTTATTACTCTCATTCCCTTAATGAAATTTCATGCATTATTTTTTTATATATTAAGCGAGCTCTTCTCATGGTAATAATTACTTTAGCTATGCAATCTATTATTTTCAATTAGAATAAGAAACTTGCTAATTTATCGTGATGAAATTGTGCAATTATTTTATACTTTTGTTGAATAACTTTCAACCGGACTTTCTGATTTTGTATAAAGATTCATTGATGTTGCTATCTTTATATAGAATGTAGCTTCCATGCTTCCCCCTTCACATTCTTTGATTTGGTTGGATTCAGATTTGGGCACCGAACAATTCAAGGAATACTAAAAGATGGTTGCAATGCTCTTCTACGCTATTATCTCAATAATTTTTGTGACGGAACAAAGCAGGTACTTAGGCTTCATTTCATGCCTAATCTTAGTTCTTCTCTCTCTCTCTCTCTCTCTCACACACACAATAGTTTTCTTTAGTTTGTGCTGATCATGAAGTTATCATGCTGTAGCCAACACTGTCTTGCATTTTTAATGTGAACTATAATTCTTAAGAAATTTATTTGCTGTTTCCTTGACTGCGATGGGGCAATTCTTGTGTCATATGATTTCTATGTCAAATATATTACGTATGTTTATGTGAAGAACTTCTTACTTTGTAAGTTGCTGCCGCTTTATCGTATTGCTGGCTTCCTATGTATGTGAAGGATGCAATTGATCTCGTGCAAGGACATTACATAGTTTCTGTCAACCGAGATATGGCTCCCTCTTCTCAGAAAGGAGGCCTGGAAGCTATAGCTGTGAGTATAAGTTCAATGGAAAACTTTTCTCAATAAAAGATTGAGGCATCTGCTTTTGCTTTCGAACAGTTTTCAGAAAGGTTGCAATTTATAAATACTGTCCAACTTTTGTGACGCAGGACTAACTATATAGAGTTAATTTAGTGTTTATTTTTGGTGCAAGAGGCCAGTCAGTTCTCTTATGGAATTTTTTTTTTTAATTATAACTTGATACTTTTTTATTTCTATTAAAAAAAAGTATAGGCGAGTTAAGTTGTGAGGTCTCACCAGCTAGAGCAAACTTTACGACCTATGAATCAATACTATTTTTATTTTTTCCTTTTCTGTTTCTTATACAATATTTTGGGTGACTTCTTGTTCCTAGGTTTATAAAATACTGATCCCGTCCATACAGAGAAGTGGTAGATTGCAACAAGCATTGGTTGATAGGCATGAAAGAAAATTACCTTTGATTTTAAAATAAGAAACCTGATTATCCAGTCCAGAAAAAGTCAAGTGATTATATAGGCCTGAAAGGCAATGCAACATTGCCTCTAGTGTTGAAAATCTCTTTTGTTTTTCCTATCATTTTTATTCTTTTCAGTCATGCTGTTTGTTTATAACAGAAAGCTTGAAGCAGCTTATCATCATCTGCATCCTATGCTAATGTATATTCATTAAATTTTTGCTCTTACTCCAATTTGAAGATTGTTCTGTTTATTCTTTCAGTCCTTTCCCCTGGCTTTATCACTGGTTTTGATTGGGTTCCTTTTTGCAACAATGTCGTTGAGACAAGGTGAGTGAACTTTTGTTCGGTTAATTTAGGAATGTGAAGTATACAAAAAGCCTAAACTGTATATTAGCTAATGGTTACATGCACTTGTACATAGACATTCATGGTCTAAACATAAGGCTGAATTATACAAAACTCATCTGAACTTTGAGTTACGTATAAATAACCTCTCTAACATTTAAAACTTGTCAAGGAACCCCTTAAACTTTCAATTTCTTGAAGATAAAACCCCTGCTGCTAATTAATTTGCGATATCACTAATGGAGGGAGAATCATATATTATTGACAATATATTCCCTTAATCTTCATTTTTTATGTAGAAACCTTAGACTTTGAGTTTGTGTAGAAAGGCCATCAAATATGTGCAAACAAGTCCTTTGCCATGTGATATTGCGTTAGTGGAACAAGGAACAAATTGGGGGGGGGTGGTATCCACATGATTTTAAAAGTTTTAGGGGATTCGTATTATGTTTTAAGGAGCTTATTTGCACATTACCGAAAATTGACAGAGTTATGTATAATTTACCCATAATGTACCCTTTTTTTTTTTTGGGAGGTGAGGTAACATTACTAGGATGGGATTACAGGGAGAAGGAACATGTGAATCCAGGAGATAGATAGTGAGAAACAGCAATTAGGACAACCATTCAGTAACGAACATTAATTCATAAGGTGAGAACTGAGGTAATAATCCTGAACTTTAGTAGGCTACCGAGCTAATTTGATATCCCACATAGGAGATTAATGTAATTTAACTAACAAATGAATGGCCTAAATACAGTTCTGATCGAATGCCACAAACCCATTTCATCATTCTTCGCAATTAAAACTTACTTTACCAATTAGATTACGTTGGCGCATCATTTTTCAATAATGGAAGTCTGTCACATTTCTGAGATTTATATGAAGGCTGTAATGATGCTTCCGACAAGATCTACATAGATCATCTCTCAAGTGGGGGAGTGGTATGCTTGAAGGGGATAGCTGTGAGGCATTTAGCTTCGGTAACTATTATTTTTCCTTTGGCACGTGCATATACGCGTTAAAGTTAACAGAAGTTGGATTGACTGTGTGTTTGGATAAGAGTAGTAATTGATTTTTTAGTCCAAAGTTAATTTTTTGAGTCAAGTTATCTAAATATCTTCAATTCTACTAAAATTAATTTAAAAAAAAACAGTATTACATATTAATTATGATTAAAATCTATTATTTAATTAATTATTTTTATAATTTATTATACCCAACTGAAATTCAAACGAGTAATGAGCCAATGAAGTCAGCTATGTCTATGGTACAAAAGAGTAACTTGTAAAGCAGCGAACCATGCATGATTGTCTGAAACCCATGAGTGGTAAATGACGATGTTATGTTCACTGTTTCAACAGTTCGGTATGATTTTCGGCACTTCTTCTTTTCGCTAATCTGGGCCAGTGTCAGTTTGGGCATAGCAGCATTTGTGAGGGCCAATGGTCGGGTTTTCTGCAACAGACCTCGCCTGCTCAAGCCCCGGTGCTAGCTTATATGTACCATTCACTTGGAGCTATTAGAAGTGTTCTTTGAGATACTCTGCTTCTGCAACAGTTCTCACCTGCTAGAAGGGTGTATTTCAGATCATTTTGACCAATGCCTTCTTACATGAGTCACTGATAATTAATTGACCATAGTCCAATGATTGATAAAAACTTTGCTGCTTTGGTGGTGTTTCCTGCTATGTCATTTTACCGTCTTGTACATGTTGAGTTTTATGTACGGTTCGTTTAAGATATGGGAGCAATGGTTACTGGAAATTATGTATAGGTACATTCTTTTATTTGCAAATTTATAAACTTAAGAATTCAAGTGCTTTAGCGTTACTCAAATGGAGATGACGACAGCTGTGAAAATCAGTTCCATATTTGACTGCATTAAATGTTTCAATTCATGTGATGATGTCATGTGAGTTTGAGTATGGTTATGAATTGTAACCTTCATGTTTAAGGTTACGCACATAGATTAAAAAAAATCTTTAATTAATGTAAAATATTATTATACATTGACCAGAACACTCATTAAATTGCTTAATTTAACAAAGAGAAGGAGAAATAAGATTGATGGAAGAAAAAGATGATAGATAGGACGAAAAAGTGATAAGAGATACATTTATTAAATGAGGATATAGTTGGAAAAAACTTGATTAGGTTTTGGATTCTTAAAATACAAAGGTTTTGAAATGGAATCAAAAGTTTAAAACAACAATAAATATGTTTGAGATGAGAATGGACAATGGAAAAAGAGTTTCAGTTGTAAGTTAGATATGTGCCCTCTGCCATTGCAAAAGTTTTAGCTATCTTTCAAGGCCTTGATCTTTGTCAGAATTTTGGTTATAGAAATGTGCATGTCTTCTCAGATAGTGTAGAGGCAATGAATCTGATTACCAGGGGATGCAGTGAAAATCATCCCTTTAGAGACATCGTTGAAGATACTAGAATGCTGGTGCGCCGAGATTGGCATGTTCAGTTTGCACACATGTTCAGGGAAAAAAAAATGTTTTAGCTGACAAATTAGATAAATTGTCTTATACTTTTGTATCTTTAATCATCTTCCAACGCCTTTATTGGAGTTAGAAAATGATGAGGGATCTTCCCCTCCTAATGAACTGGATGGCTTGTATGTCTTTTAGTTTTTAATAAATATTTTCAGTATTATTTTTTAAAAAAATCAACAATAAATATGGAAGGGAGGGAAAGGGTAGCTGCAAGTCTTATAATTATGGTTACTCTGTGATCTATTAACTCTGCTTCTTCCAGATAGCGTGGACTGAAACTTGTATAAATATCTTTTACCTAGAAAAAATTATGAAGACCTCTGGAAGGAATCCAAGAGACATAATTATTCTACGTTTAATTGCACTTTATCTTTGCCAGTTTCAGTCCATGGTCACAAGTCTTCAGTAATTGTTTTGCCTGAATTTGAATCCCCATTTTTTCTGCCTTTACTTTTCACCAAGGTACTTGGGACCATGATTTTCATGCAGGAGCAGCGGAGCAGGCTTGTAGTCTGGTTGAGATGTGTTCTGAAATTTTGGAGTATAATGATAACCAAGTCTTTTTCTTTCCCTTAAATTTCCCCTTTGGGTTCCACGTTAAATTCAACCATTTCCTAAGCATAATTTACGATCGAAAACTAAGCAAGGTGAACAATACGACCCTTCTAACTGCTTTTTGGCACGTTTCTCATGAAAACAGTGAATATTTTAGATGGTCATCACATGTAGCATCCTCCGCACCAGCTTGAGTAGCCAGAATAGCCTCCGGAATATTCACTATTCAAAAATTAGTTTCCAGAACTCGATGTCCACGGCTCTGTATCGATGTCGACCCTTCGGGATTTAAGCATGTTTGGATACATTACTTTTGACTTTTGAAAAGCATATTTTTACAATTAAAATGTAGAATGTTGTTTAAAAATTTTGTAATGAATCAAACTCACTTTTTAAATGCACGTTTGAGAATCTATTGAAAGTGAATTTCAGAACTTGCCACTAAGAAACTTTTGAAATGTAGCTTTTGAGATATTAATGGGATAACACACATGAGATATGATAGGTGGATAACAAGTTTACATTACACTAGTAAATTCCACGTGAACCCCCATCAACTTTATTTTATAATCTTATTTTTTAAATAAAAATTATATTTAAAAATATTATGTGATTTTCAAAAAATAATAATAATGTTATGTCACAGAGGATTATTATTTTCAATATATCTAACTTTGTATTTTTTTTATTCTTATTATTTAACATATCAAATTTTATGGTATTTAAAACGTTTTTGTGATGAATTTAATAATAAATTCTTCAATATATCTGACTTTATATTTTTTTATTTCTATTATTTAACATATCAAATTTTATGTTATTTAAAATTCTTGTCATATTTTTTTAAATATTTCTAATATATTATATTTATATAACAAAAATTATAAGTTATTATAAATTAACATTTTTTTTTATAATTGTACATTCAAAAGTGCTTTTCATTATATATAATTAAAACAATTTTTAGTTTACTAAATTAAATTTTTAAAAAATATATTCAAACTTAAATTTTATTATAACAACTGACTTTCACTAAACTAACTTTTAATAAATAAATTTTTGACAACCTGAAAACCAAACGTGCACTTAGTTATATTAGTGACGTGTTGACTTATTTGACTATTTCTTTCATCTTTGTCCTTGTAATTGCTAAGCAAGTAATTGAGCAACCTAGGTTAATTTTAGGCATGAAACCTAGCCTAGGAGGTTATGTGCTGGCCAGGTCTCACTTTTGATGTACTTTTCAAGGAAAACAATGAATATTTTAGATCTCTTACATCATGGACTAGCATCTAATTAAAATACTAAAAATCAAACCGATCATTAAACCACTCAAACCAACAGGTTAGGGGTTTAACTGAGGGTTAACTCAGAAGACAAACTGATCATGATTAAAATAATACAATTTCAATAAAAAGACATTAATCATGAAAATATTCAATTAGATCCAAGATTAATCTTTAATACAAGATACAAATATAACAATAATTATAGAATTACAACTATCCAAAAATCTAACAATAATAAAATACAATTTTCTAAATATTCATTCTTACAATTATAATTTACAACCCTGCACTCATTAAAAGGTCTAAAACTTATAATCACTAACACTAAAATCATCAATAACCACAATTTTAATTCATAAATGCTAAACAACAATTAGACAAATGAACAACGTCAAATAATGAAAGATTAAACAATTAAGGCACAACTAACTTGAAAGAATACTGAACCTTCTAAATTAAAGATTACAATTAAGCCTTCTATTTGAAATTCAAACCATAGACAGTGCAATCTAATTTAATTACCTTACCCTCCATTGCCTCATTTTTTATTTTCAAGTCAAATTTTTTTATTTTTTATTTAGTTTTTACAATTTTTTAAAAAAATAAACCAAAAAAAAAGTAAACTGATTGACTAGCCCAGGCAGCCGAGTCACACTAGGTCAGTGGCTGACCAGTTTAAGTGAACACTCAAATTGGGAAAGAGATCGAGTTATCAGTTCACATGATGAACCGACCAGTCCAATCTGGGTTTCCATACAAAATATCTAATTGTACACTTTATTAAACATTGGCAATGGCAACACAGGGCCACACAAATAGTTAAAATTGGATGCAAATGTGTACTAAGACTGATCTGAGAACGATAACATACAAGCGAAGACCAAAAGTAGATGAAAGGAAAACAATTTAGCCAAAACAGAATCAACACTGATTTTTTTGGCTACTAACGTTAAATTAAGATTGCTTCCTTTTCTTTTCCAAATAAGAGTGGTGTCTCTGAAAGCTCAGTACTGCCCAGATGAGGTGCCGCAAACCTATCTCCGGCCAAAGAGCAGCCGGCGCGTACAATGGACATGTGCTAGTCTGCCAAAGAAGAAAATTGCTGAGTCGGGTTTCCCCAGAACTTCGGATCAAGATGTCCGGGTCAGGTGCTACTGCCATGTACATATGCTTCTCAATGTCAACTAGTTTTATAGCTGGAAGCTCACCCTCCTTATACCTTATCCCTTCAGTACTATCAATCACCCCATTGCAAGGTATAATTCCAGTTTCTCCGCAATAATTGTGGCGTTGTTTAACGGCATGCGCAAACTGACCATCTCTACCTCCGGCATCTTTAGCGCCTTTGCTGGCACTGCAAGCTTTGGTCGCATTTAAATAGTCTTTGCAAGAATGTTGATCGAGTGCACAAGTGCTATTTCTCTTCGGACCTTCATCAATTCTTGTTATCACACCATTTGAACCTTTGGCCTCTTTTGATGCTTGAACTTCATTCCATTTATCCTTGCAGGATTCTTGGACAGCACGTACAATCTCATCACGTGATGTATAGGCCACACAAAGTAAAAGCACCCTCTGGTTGTTTTGAGCAGTTACTCTCATTGCCTTCTCTACAGCAGCCCTAACTGGTTCGGTCAGTAGTTGCAAATTGCCAATGAAATGCAATCTAATACCATATTCGTTGACAATACTTTCTTCTTGCAGCAATTCCTCAATCTTTTCTCGCATCAAGTCCATGAGGGATTGAACCTCCTTTGGCTGCCTCTTGAAGTTATCAATGCTAAACGCATATACAGTTACATACTTCACTCCCAATTCATAGCAATACCTCAGCATAGACAGGAGAGCCGAAAATCCAGCCTTGTGGCCATCACCTTCAGCCATGTTTCTCTTCTTGGCATACCTTCGATTCCCATCCATGATGAAAGCAATATGATCCGGAACAGGACCTGCAGATAAAACACCAAACACGCATCTTCTCCAAAAACTACATAAACTCCCAAACAACTGACTTGCAATACCTCCAGTCCTTCTCTCCATTTAAATGGTTGACATTAAACTTTAAGAGTCCAACATAAGCAATTCAAGATACCTTCATTTTCGGCTAGCATTAGGAATAGTGAAGGCATCTTGAGCTAATGATCCAGCAATCTGTTCATTAGAAACTGCTCAAGTATTAATCCCCATTATGAAAGAAGAAAATAAAAAGTAGGAAATAATAAGTGATGAAAAGCCATTATAGATGTCTATATCATTAGTTGTCAGGTCTATGAGCAAGAGGCTGCAGAGTCAAGACTTGTCTACATGCATAGTTCATTCACCAATTAAATAGAGGATTCAATGTTACATGTATTCAGTAAATCAATGAAATATTGCGGATAATCCCATCAATAAATGGCTTATGCCAAAGTCATGAGCATCATTCTGGAACTTGAGGCTTCAAGGATCAAGAAAATGAACCATGAAAATAGGTTGTCCACCTGCTGGTTCCTCAACCAGTTTTCACTCACAAAGTTTGAGCAAAATCTTCAAGCAGTTTCCTTTTCGCCAAAATGAAGGTGCAAGTCGTTAACACAAACTACAGTTCAATGTACAATGATGAACATTCTAACAGAGTAACAATAACTTCCTCAAGAGCAAGATCCAGTTTACTCTCTTGAAAATTAAAAATGGGTTAACTTCCCAAAGTATTATGCACATGCCAGATACCTTGCATCATGAAAACTTATGGTTCTGTATTTGCTGTGGACATTGTTATTACCATACTAAGCACAAGGTCCATGCGTAAAATTTCTTCCTACATCAATAAACAGTGACATAAAAAGCACCACAAACAAGTTGCTACTAATTACATATCTAAAAGAGATAAGAGAGTATTAAATATTATTCAAGAACACAATAACGCTGGAAAACATTATATCTTGAGTAATATATTGATATGTTCTCCTGACTATCAAAGTATGAAAATCCACAACAATCATGGTCCCTCTAAGCTGAAAGTAAATGGAAGTATAGCACTATAAACCATTCGAAAAAAAAGTGATTAAAATGAGTTGATATGAAGCAATTAATTCAACATTAGACAACAAACACTGAAGCGGGCAACTCAATCACGAGCTAGACAAGGGAAGGGAAAACGTAATCTGAAATACTAGAAGACACACTCTAATACCGTATTTCGAAGCTTTTGTTTCTTTAAACTCATTCAAAGCAGTCACAATTCAATTCTAAGCAACTAAACGTACTTCGAACAAGTAATAAATAGCGTTACTCCGCTGCCACTTCAAATATATATGACGAAAGAGTTGGAAGTTTCCATACTTTTAAAAAGGTCTTTAGAGCAATCAATCAAAAGAAAAGAGATACTCGAGAAAATAGATTCATATCTATGCTTAACTGAGACTGAAATATACAGGATTTCAGCAAGTTACCTTCAATCCAAGGAGCGTTGACCCACTCAACCTTCGAACTCGATGCTCCCAAAGGAAACGAAAGTCAAAACCCTCAATAGAAATTTATCGATTTAATCAGAGATCAAGATAAAGGAGAATACTTGAAGCGTAACAGCCGCGAGAAAACAAATAAAAAAGAAAAAGAAAAAAAACTATGATGACCACACCAAACAAAAAGTTGCTAAATCTAATGAGGAGGAGCCAATGAGGCATGTGGTTGGAAGTGGCAACCAAAACAAAAATAAAAATAAAGGTTAAAAGCTTTTAGAATTGGGACTTGGTGGCTGTTTTGCGTTTGTGGGAAACTAGAGCTGAGAAAACGGCAGCTCGGCCTCTAAGGGCCGGCGCTTAAGGGGCTCGTGTTTAAAAGGGCTCAAAAAACCCATTTACCTTTTGACATTATCAATTGCAGAGTCCGACCCTTGAAACAGGGGATTCAGGGCTGGCTAGTGTGCTTTTGTCCCTTCTACTTATTTTCATTTCTTTTTCTATAAATACATAAAATTAAGTGAAAAATATGATAAAATCCATAAATCAAATATCATTACCCAATCTATTTCCTGTACCCCCCCCCCCCCAAAAAAAATCAACCATACACTTCTTCCTTGGATGAGAATCAAACAATAATGCTTCTGTGCAAGACATGATTGAGAGGGATAAGGAGATTGGGATTGAGACGTTACTCAGTTTTGAGATCGAGGTACTATGGAGTGGTGAGATTGAGAATTTGAAATTAAGCACGACTTTCGTGGAAGCTCAGACCAGATGGATACTGCCGTGGTTTAAGCTCTTTTCAGATCAGATGCTCAGATAAAAAATGAGCGAAGAAGAAGAATGCTGTGGAAGTGTACCATGAGTGTCGTGTGATGCCAGACGCGATTGCCAATTGAGAGCACGAGATCGAGATCTGGAAGATTGGAATTGCCGTTGCCGTGGTTCTGGACTCTAGACTCTCAACTCTACTTTGGTTCAGTTCCGGCGCACGAGGTCGAGGACGGAGACACGAGCGCACGAGGCGAAGTACTTGCGAGGGAGAGAATGGAGAAGAGGGATGCCATGACCGTGACGGATAAACAAGTGATGATGAAGGTGAAGCCGAAGGTGAGACTGAAGAGTGAAAAGAGATGGATGAAATTGAAGACGAAGAGAGAAGATTGAAGTTTGAAGACGAGTAGGTGGCTGAATGGTTGAATGTGAAGATTGAAGTCTGCAGGCTGAAGCCAGAAGATTAGGGTTACAGCATATTGAGGAGATTTAGAGTTATTTTTTATTATATAAAAATAGAAAAAAAATATATACAAATTTAAACAAGCTGGCCCTCAATCTGTTAGAACTAGCTCGTTTAAAATGAAGCTCATTAAGATTAGCTTGTTTAAGCTGCGATTTATAATTTTAAGATCTTATATATAAGTCCAACCTCTTGATTAAACAGGTTTAAACTGGCAGATCCATTAGGTTCTCTCTGTTTTTCTAACTCTATGGGAGACAAGTCTAAATTTTGAGGCAAAGGTGGAAAAATTGATCCCAGAATGACATAGGCTAAATCGTTTCTTATTTGTAACGGGCTGAGCCCACATATTGTCTTAGATGGTTTGGGATCTTGAAAATGAAAACAAGACACAGTAGTTCATGTGCAAGGAACGGTTGAATCAGAATTAAGGTTGTGGAAAGAGGAGAAAATAACGAAAAAACAAAACAAGGAATCTCAAGCGCAACGAAAAACAAAACAAAACCTAGGTTTGTTGCTTCAATAACTAGTTTAGTAGCAGTGGAGAAAAAAAGCCAAGAATCATGTGCAGCTCACAAACCGCAAGGCACCGTAGTCAGAACTCAGCAACAATAGCTGCTTCTTGTATTTTTATTTATAAAATAAAAAAATAAAAAAATAATTTTATTTATAAATTACATCATTAAATTTTTATTATATTTTTTTATTTTTTATTAAATGTTAAAATATATATATATTATTAAAATGTATATATTTAACAGAAAAAAAGTTGACGTACGTTCCATGCAATAGACAGAGACCGAGATCATGACGAGCTAGAGAGTGGAGACGGAGATAGCAATGACGTCATTCTGCATCTCTATGGCTGACTGGAGACACGTGATGGTTGAAGTCTAACTGTAAGGAACTTATCCAAGCAGTCAACGATGGCAAATTCATTCGGGTCTACTCAAGAAAGTTAAATCCTTGGGAACTTTCAGCTTGGGATCATCGATGGGATTTCATTTCAAATCAGGCCCAGTCAAAATTCACTGCAAGATCCGGGCATTTAATTGAAAATAAATTTTGAAGTGAAAGGACCATAATACCCTTTCTTTAAAAAAATAAAAAAACCAGCCAAGCTGCTTCCTCTTGCCACTACCACCTCATGCCTCAACTTCACACGTCACGCAATCCCAAAAAACTTGAAATATAGGGACGATCTGGCTTCATATCAAAACTTGGTGTTCTTCAATTCCTGTTGAGAATAACTGATGAAATCATAATCTGAGTAACGGTTAAAAACACCATTCTTAAAAATTATTCCGCCACACCGAGTTGACCGCGCAATAGCTCCTCAAAATTAAATAGACTCTTCCTACTAAAAGTAGGGATATAGAACAACAGAAATTCATAGAATATACTCAAGTAACTACACAATAAACTAGTATGATAGGAGAGGAGAAAAAGGTTGAGAGTATCAAGGTTCTTTCTGAACCTATGACAAGTATTGCCTTTTATAGGCAGATCTCATAATGCTAGACAATAAAATCACCTTAATCACAATTAAAAAATAGTTTCAAATAATAATGTCGTTTAAATTATATGTTATAAAATAATAAATAAAATTAAATAATAATTAATATTATTAATTTATAATAATTCCTTTTGAAATATTAAAAAATATTTATAATATCCAATAATTCCCCACATATTTCAAGGAGAAGAAAAATTTTCTTGAAAACTATTTTATACAAATAATTTATAACTTCACATAATAATTTTCAAAACTTTAGAAAAAATGCCCAGTCTGTTTGATACTACATTTAGCTCACGCGTGAGTAATTGCATTCGCATAAGCCAACTTCTCCTCTAAACTCATTTACTTGCCCAAGCTCATACCTTAGTATACATTATTAAGGCCTTCATTTATTTGAACAATATAGGACTTTCCTTTTTGACACAATTTCAATAATCCCCCACATGTGCTAAAAGGACCACTATCATTTGAGTTATTCACACAGAAGATAATCACTTCGAATTTGGTGTCTTTCGACATGAACCAAACCTAGACCAATAAAACTTAACACATAAAAAAGTCAGTGTAACTTTGTTATTGAACCAACAGATCTTTGTTCGTGTGCTAGAGGTCTTATTAGTCAAATTATACCCTCACAATTTCCATTATTAATGCAATTTTGCACGTTATCGACCATATGCACACCTGATTTTAATGAATACTCTAGAGATTTTGTCACGATCTCATAAAAGCGGCCTCGCTCCACATTTGTATAGGTGTTTTTATCAAGTGTATTTGCAATAAATACACTATCCGTAAGAACTATAAAAAAACATTAAGAGCTTTCGCTCAACCTCCAATCAATGCATTCTAACACTTTCTCAAGTCATAGGAAAGGACAAAAAATTTAGTGCTAGCAGAACTAACAAGTGATTTGTTCTTACCTATTGAACCTTCTTCATGGGATCTCTAATCACAAAGGTTGGGTTGCCATCACCGTTAATTTTAAATTAGTTTAAGTCTCATTCCCCTGAACATTTAAATAATTAAAATTCTTCCCTAGGGGCTAGTTAACGGATCCATCGGATTTATATCTGATCTCACATAATCAATTAAGATAACTCCCTTTTTTAACATGTTTAATTGTGCCTCAAATAATATTTATATATGTCATTGTTCTCTTTACAATGACTATTGCGATTTGGCAATCACAAATCATCGACATGATTTGTGTCGATTTTACTCATAGTAGAATATTCATTAAAAAGTTTCTCAACTACTCAGTCTCATTATTAGCCAACTTCATATTAATAAACACTACCTCAAATAATATTTTATTTAGCTACAAATGAATTTTTTCTCTTCTTAATAGAAAATTCAGTTAACATCATTGTATTATTTTAATACAATGGGATCCATTATATATGATATCAACATTTATGGTATCCTTCAAACACTCATTTGTCTCATCCTCTTATAAAACTATATTTAATATGATCAATATCTACACAATATCTATCATAGGATTAACATGAATTAACGCAACAAGCTCTAAAAAATTTGTTAATACATACATAGACTGATCAATAAGATCATCCCATTTTCATTTTTTTTATCATGTTTGCATCATAGAAATGCTTATCGACACTAAGTGTCAAATTTACACTAAAATAATTGTTAAGGAGATTTTTCACAACTTAGCCTCCAATTTCAAGGTAATAAACTCTATGGTTTTATTATCATATTTGTTTCTAACACCATTAAAGGTGGATAATCACCAGTGGCTCTTCTCACATTAACATTCATGTATTTTATACACTGGGGATCTACTATTCAAAATTCCATAATTTAGAAAATATTCTATTTATTTCATGGGACCATAACACATATAAATAAATCATTATTTATAAAAATAAATATTGATGCCAAGATAATTAGATAGGTCACATACCTATTTTGAAATACATTTATCTACACCAAACAAATGATGAAATTTATACCACCACCACCGTAAACTTTGCCCCTCATGCAAATAACAGCCTTCTCTTAATTAATCAAAACACAAAACCATATCTTGGCATTTATAAAGTGAGGCTAATTATTTAGTATAACACACATTTTCTTTTCCAATAGTTTTTGCAAGATATCCCACCCTTTTAAATATATTTCAATAACATGAAAGATAGTTTATACCTAATTAATAATTATTCTAATTAAATTAGAATTCCACCATATAATCTCTTCCCATTCTAATTAAATTAGAATTTCTCATAATTTAAACTCACCATGCATAAACCCATGCACATAGGCCCCATATTTTGGATATTAAAACTTGTGAATGGATTAAAACATTTTCAAGCAACATCCATATAAAGCAGCACAATTGTGCAAGCAAACATCATGTGATTTCTCATAATAATAAATTTACTACACAAAAGCACCAAAACATTTATGCTTTACATAAAACATCATTAAGTGTTGGACATTATTGTGTAACCACTTTACAATAATTCATTCACTTTAAAATACAATAAACACCACATTAATGTCTAAATAACTGAATGGTATCATAACCAGGGAATCATATATAATCTCCATTTATAAATAACATTCACTAAATTACAAATATTTAATTTACAAAAAAATGTCTCCCATCAATTGGCATATATTGAATATAATACCATAGAAAATTGCAACATCTACCAATTTATGTAAATAAAGCATCAAGCTTTAATCCCAACCTTTCAGACAGCTAACATACACATGATTTAAATATAATCAATTCTTATAATTGATTAGGTGCCAAATGACAACCGTGCCTTTCTTTTATTGGAATTGTAACAAATACCAGTATTAATTTTTAAAACTCTAAATAGTGTTTTTGGCCAACAATCTAGAAGTCTGCAAAACAGACTATCAACACAAAATCCTTAATGGATTTTGAGTTTATTGCCATGAAACTGGCTGGAACTGAGGTTGAGTGGTTGAAAAACTTCTTAGTGAGTATTCCAATAGGTGAAAAGCCCACACCATCAGTGTCTTTACATTTTGATAGCCAATCTGCAATAGTAACAGCTAAAAATAAGACTTTTAATGACAAAAGTAGACATATTTGATTGAGATATAATATTATAGAGCAACTGCTCAAAGATGGGGTCATCTCAATCGATTATGTAAGATCAAAGCTAAATCTGGAGGATTCGTTAACTAAGCCCTTAGGAAAGAAATTTATTATTGAAACATCAAGGGGAATGGAACTTAAACTTGTTTGAAATTAACAGTGATGGCAACCCAACCTATGTGATTGAAGATCCCATAAAGAAGGTTTAATGGGTAAGAACAAGTCACTTGTTAGTTCTGCTAGCACTAAATTTTTGTCCCTTTCTATGGCTTGAGAAAGTGTTAGAATGCATTAAATTGAGGCTGAGCGAAAGCTCTTAATGTTTTCATAGTCCTTATGGATGGTGTATTTATTATAGATATACTTGATGAAAACACCTATACAAATGTGGAGTGGGGCTACTCCTATGAGATCATGGCAAAATCTCTAGAGCGTTTGTTAAAACTAGGCACGCGTATAGCCAATAATGTGCAAAATTATCATTAACAGCAGAGATTGTGGGGGTATTGGGACTGTAGGGGTATAATTTGATTAATAAGACCTCTAGTACACGTTCAAGATTTATTGGTTCAATAACGAAGTTACATCGACTTTTCTGTGTTCTAAGATTTATTAGTCTAGGTTTAGTTCAAGTCGACAGACAACAAATTCGAAATAATTATCCTTTGTTTGAATAACTCAGACGAATAACGATCCTTTTGACACATGTGGGGGATTGTCATGTGTGTGTCAAAAGTCTCAAATTGCCTAAATGAAGAATTTTTCTAGTGTATGAATACTAAGGAATGAAGTGGGCTAGTAAAAAGCGGACTCGCGCACATGAGACAGGCCAACACAGGACAATTACAGTTGAAATCAGCCGATTCGCCCCCCGACATGAGTTTAAGAGGCACTGGGTTCCTTTTACCGGATTATTTTTACAAAAATAATTAAATAAATAATTATTTTTAACTTACTCAAAAACCTCAAATTTTGCTGTTTTAAATTTAAATTTGAAGTCTTGGCAGTTTTTTAGGCATTAAACTACTTCTGAAAATTGATTTTGTGAGTTAATCTCTTAAACTCATATGTCTGCCAACGTCTCCAGATTAATGGTGTTTAAATGTGATTTATGAGAGTGTAACTGAAGCCTTAATTCGATAATTATGAACCAACATTCATGTCTCTATCTTCGGGCTATATATAGCCACGGGTACAGTCAGAGCAACTCACTAGTCTATTGAGTTTTCGAGACAATTCTCTCCTTCCTCTGTCGTCTCTGTGTTATTCATCTGAGTGTGTTTTAGTTTCTATTGTTCAAGTTCCTTGCTCCGTAGGAAGTGCTTGTTTAATCCTGAAGAACTATTAATTTGTTGTCCCAGTGTGTTGGAATAGTTCTTAAGGACAATGTCTTTTCGGGCACGACTCAAGCAGCTCATCATTTGTCATTCATGTCTATACTGTTGGTGCCGCCAACAATCTTAAAAACTATTCCGCCATACTGGGTTAATCGCGCGGCATCTCCCCAGGATTAAACAGACTCTTCCTACTAAAAATAAGGACACAGAACAACAAAAATTCACAGAATATATTCAGGTAACTGCATAAATAAACTAGTATGATAGGAAAGGAGAGAAAGGCCAAGAGTATCAAGGCTCTCTTTAAACCTATGGCAAGCATTCAAAGTCAGCAATCAAAGTCAGGGTAGCTATTGGAAAAGAAGCTGGAGATGAGATTCATGGCCCTCGGGCCAAATCGAGTCCATTTTTGGCTATAAGAGGTCGCAGTGTGAGAGTGATTGTCGAACGAGGCAGTGGTGCCGTAAGGGATTGGTCATTTTTGGCTACCATTGATGGAAAAGTAAAAGGAAGGAAGCAAGGGTCTAAAAAGCAGTGAATCTTGCCGACTATAACTGAGTGCTATGTTTGGTAATTGTGCAATTAATGATAGTATTTTGTGCCCTCTTCGAGAGTGCAGATTCAAAGGAAAGTCTATGACGCAATGAAAATAATCAAACTAACAAAGACGAAGAAGAACGAAGACAAAACTAGACCGTGACTCGTGATCGAATTGCAGAATAAAGAGGGAATACGAGGCTGGATGGACTGAAGTGAAAGAGAGAAGGAGAAGGACTTTTTTCCATAAAAAAAAAATATTATGATCATTTCTCTTCTAAATTTATTTTCAATTAAGTCTCTTGAATTTAGAATGAATTTTTAAAATTTATTAGGTCTAATTTAAAATATAAGCCTCATACATTTATATTGAAATTCTCTCAAGATCCTTTTCTCACCATGATTAGCAAGTTTATATCCAACCACATCTACAGAAAAGCAAACAAGGGCTTATTTTGTACAAGGGCCTGGCTACCATTTTTCAGTTGTTGCTTATTTCCTTTCTTCACCAAAATAATAATAATAATAATAAACCTCCCTTCCCTTCAGCCAAACCACACCACACTCCATTCCCCTTCCCTTATCTTTTTTTTTTTTTTAATTTATCTAACATAACTCAGAATAATGTTTTGCATTATTGATCGGTTATCGATGTTGATAAAACAATTATGAGACGTCTTGGTGCTACTCCAGTTAACGTCATTCACATAATTAAGCTACCAATGATTTTTTTTTAAATCATATAATTCAAAAATAGAGCAAGAGTAATTTGCAAATGGATCTCACTTTTAGTTTGTTTATCTCTTCCCAATTATATTATGTACAATTAACTTACTTCCAGAAATTTAAATTCACAATAATTGAGTTAACTTTAACTCCATTCTCCGCTAATGGATTGAATCAGAGCTTCAATTTGAAGGAAATCTTCGTCGTGTTCTTGTTGTCGTCTTTTCATTTGACATATCACTCATTCTTGCGGTGAACAATATAAATCCAGTCTCCACCTTGAACCACTTGAACAAGTATTGCAATTTTAATACAGTATATCGACCCGCTATACACAAAAAGTGACTAGCCCAATCGTAAAAGGCAGTAAAAAGGTTGGTTAAAATCTCCTCCTCCGCCCAAGAATAGAACCAACAAAGAACATGTATCAAGAGGTTGATTCAGCCAATTGCTTGGACCAAATTACTATTCAACCTCACTTTCAACTTCACAATAGCTCTAGCTTCCTACTTTGGATACCTTTACTCTGTCCCTTTTTCTTTCGTCAACACTTTTACTTTGTCTTTGATTCTTCAATGCCTTCCAATTCCTCAACCACTTCTTTCATGGATGGACGGTGTTTAGGGTCAGGTTGTAGGCATTTCAGGGTAAGCTTAGCTGCTTGCGATGCTGCCTTGAGTGAATATTGACCCTGAATCCTGGCGTCCATAATGGTTTTCAATCTTCTTTTGCTAGACAGGTATGGCTTCACCCATTCAACCAGATTCTGCTGCCCACTTGGACGCTTCGAATCTAGTGCCCTCAAACCCGTCAGCATTTCAAGCAGCACTACGCCAAATCCATACACATCACTCTTCACATACAAGTGGCCTGTTGATCAACAAAGGTACAATCAGGGGGCATGTTAGCACTCGTTGATTTAGAATGTTGGATTATATTAGCCTGTTTGTTATGTACAATTATAAACACACTGAGGAATTAGTCGGTGCAACCACCAGTAGAATAGAAATTTGTGGGTGTCATTGTATCTCAATTAAGTTATCATTCTAGTTCTGTGCACAGCCGTTTTATACATTATATGTACGTGAACGAGCTTCTCAACTATAAGGAGCACCGAGTGTCTACCAAAAGCTGAAAAGCATACTAATTGGTTAACTGCTTCTACCTAACATGCAGCGTGAGTCATGAATACAGTCAAAACTCAAAAGACTATTGTGATACACAAAGTTGCTTTATCAATCATGTGTCAATGTATTTACCTGTTGCAACATATTCTGGAGCAGCATAGCCATAAGTGCCCATAACCCTAGTTGTAACATGTGATTCTCCCCCAGATGGCCCCAATTTTGCCAAGCCAAAGTCAGAAATTTTTGCATTATAATTCTGTAGGATAACAAAAGAATCTGATTATGACAGGACTGCTTTTGCTGCCCAAACCTAAAAAAAGGAAAACTAAGAAGCATGAAAAAGGAAAGATGCTTTCAGATGGGTTGACCTGACCTCTCCAACTATTATGGAGCAAGAAAATGAAAAATAGGGCTGCTTTAGAGTTGCTATTGACCTGGCTTAGGAAAGGGCATTTTTGGAGTCTGTGAGGGCTGTCTTTGGGGTTTATAGTGGTGCTTGAGGCCCCCAAGCAGATTATGTCATTTTGTATTTTGAGTGTCGTGAGGAAAGAACTTCCCTCTCGAAAGCCAGTGAGTGTTCTGTGTTGAGAGTGATTGTGTTCTGACTTAGCTACCATGATTTTACCATTGTAACAAGGGAATAGGGTTTTATATTGAATCAGGGAGTCCTCCTTCGTAACTCTGATTCAGTACCTTATCATATTAACATCAAAACCTCAGGATTTCCCTTCTATTATGCTCTGGCGTTGCATATTTGCTGTTTTCTGGTTCTTTTAATCCACAGGGTCTCATCAGATTATTAATTTTATCTGTGATAAGGAGAAACCATTACTTTTCTTACTCAAAAGACACAGCGTCCACCACGTCAATTTATATCCTTCAACTGGTCAACAGATCTAATATTAACAATGCTTAGAACAATCTAACGGGGAAAAATTTTAATCATACACTAGGAAGTGTCCATATAGGTACACCGTAAGGTTGGCTCCAAGCAAACGTAAAGATATTTGGATTAATGTGCACGCCACTCATCCCAGGGTGACACTAAATTCATTTCAGCTTCCATCTTAAGTCTGAACAATGAGGGAAGGAGAGATCAAGACCGGCACTAAGAGGCCAACCAGTAAAAGAATAACTAACCCCATCAAGTAGTATATTTGAAGCCTTGAAATCTCGGTATATGACTTGCTTTTCTGAAGTGTGCAAGAAGGCCAATCCTCGAGCAGCACCAATAGCTATTTTGAGTCGCATGTTCCAAGAAAGTGGTTCAATGTTAGGATTTCCTGCTCAAAAAAAAAAAGAAAAAGAAAAAAAGAAGACAAATTAAACTCCTGCAGGGCCAATCTTTTTCTTTTCCCACTTATTTTATGTATTTCTGTCTTCAGTTCATACTTCTGAAGAGATGATTCTCCAAACTTCCCTTTGGCATGAACTCATACACAAGCAGCAGCTCCTCAGCATCCCAACAGTAACCCAATAGCTTGACCAAGTTGGGATGAGAAAGCCTTCCTAAGAAATTGACTTCTGACTGTGGTATCAGATCAAGAGAACAAATAAACATATTATTTCACAATGTATGATACCTTTTCCGAAAATTGTACAAAATAAGTGGGATTTATCTCATTGTGGGTACCAGAAATCCAATATGACAACTAAAATCAAGACACACAACAGTTATTGACAAACATTAAAGCTTCACCGAGAACTAAATCATTTGTCAGTGATTAGTTTTTCAATCAACTGGTACCAACACCAGAGTGATAAAAGTGGGGAATATCAAATGCCCTCTTACCAATTCTGTGTTCTTTAGAGCAGAACAACAGCCTTGTCAGGAAAGGTACATATAATAATAAAAGTCATCTTAAAGCATGAATCATGCTTCACTAATGACTTAGAGAACAATACCAAACGAACAAACACACTCAATACACTAAATGCATGTTTGGTACATGAAAAAATGTTTTCTAGAAAGGAAATGAAGAATTTATCTAGAAAGAAAATGAAATAGGTCCATTTACCATGTCCTTTCTAGAAAACATTTTTCTACCTACCAAACATTGCATGAAGGTAATATCAACTTCCATTCTTCTGTCAAGGTTGGAGAAGGTTACAAAAATGTCTATCATTACCGTATTATCTTTACACTTTTCTTATAACAAACAAGCCTGGCTACACAATTCCACCAAAACTGCTGCACTGCTACAAATAACAATGCTGCTTCATTTTTATTTATATTGGTTATAATTGCACATTAAGCAGACAGGACAGGAATGGCAGGTTCAATGAGAAGCTTCCATTCGTTATGTGTTACATTTTAAATTTGGCATTATTTTTCTGAGCAATTTCTATTTGATTACAATTGGGTTTTATTTTCAATTAAGCATCATTTAGTTTGCTGTCTCCTATTAGGACTAGGACATGGCTATTCACTTGATAAATGTAGGTGTTCTTGTATTAATACTAAGCAATAATACAGAGATTTCTTTCCTTCTATCACCCTCCCTCTATTATTTTTTTCACGATATCAGAGCCTGAAGGAACTGGTGATCACCTTCAGCTCATTTTGAGCTCTGAATGCAGAGACGGTATATTCAAAGGGAGCATTTTGTATATTCAAAGGCAGTGGAAGGAAGATTATCTTACTAGAGAGAGGTAAGACAGCCAGAAACAACAAACTCAGATTATCAAGTATGGGTTTCAGAAAACAACACCATCATGTCACCGTTAGTTGACTCTGACAACTATCTATATATCAATAGAATGCCTTAAAAAACATTAGAGCTTACTCTCCTCAGCAAAAGCTACACGAAACTTGCACTTACACTTCAGCCATGAGCACATCTCCTCATAAAATATTTGGCTGTGCATCCCTTGTTTGACGTTGACCATGGTGGGCCTTTTTTTATCCTTTGGGCATTGTCCATCTTCAAAAAGGGTATCGCTACTCACCACATCTAAGAAATTCTATATTACCATGATGAATGTTGCACTTTTTTAGAACATATCTTTCTATGGTTAAACACCCATTGAGGGGGAGAATGGGAACACATGAGAGTGGAAGTTTGAGAGTGATTTCAGCCCTATACAGCAGACTCTACCCTCCTATAGTCCTGAACTTGATCTGCATAGATCTGAGACTCAACTCAATGCTCAGCTTGATGCAATGAAAAAAGCCAGGCAGAATATTAACCGCCAAAAGTACTCAATAAAAGGAAGAACGTCCAGTGACTTAACAGCAAAAAAAGGAAGAGTCATAGCAGGACAGCAGTATAAAGAGAAGAAAAATCACGCACGACCTATGCCATCCCTTCCCATGCCAACAGCTGAAATGGAAAATGACTTAGAGGTATCCATTGACCTTAGAAAGGACGTAAGACGTGTATTATTCAATTCATTTGTAATGCAGGTTCAATGAGAAGCTTCCATTGATCCAGGTTTTTATCTTCTATGTTTTTATTAGATTTTTTTTTTCATGCAACTTTTACATTACTAGGATTAGGTTTTATTTTCAACAAAGCATTCTTCCATTAGGACCAAGACACCGCAATTCATAGGTACCATGACTGTACTACTCATGAATCATGATAGCTATTAGACCAAAGCATCCACATTACAAACACAAAGACTTTAAATAAGTCTACCGCTTCGCAAGTGGTGGTGCCATATGCCTGCCCTCAAACTCTGGAATATTAAATTCAAGTATGAACAAAACGTAATTTGTCCATGTCTTATAGCAAAAGAAACGATGAATCTGTGATCGGATGGTAAAAAAATGAAAACATTTCCAAATAATTGTGGAAAGAGAACACCTGTTGAATTCATCGAGTCAAGCATTAAATAGAGTGGATATTAGGACAACATATTTTAATGACCCGCCTTCAACTGCGGGCAAGCAATGAATGGCGGAAAAACAGGTCGTTAATGTGGGACCCGACTGCATTTTTCTACTGAAATCATTGATCATGTTCATGTTTGTTTATCGATCGATTTGTATTTAGTTTCTTCGTTACCGATTTATTTGTATCTAGTTTCTACACTAATTAATGAGACTGATCAAAAAGAGTTGTGAGTCGTGAGCCCCAAATTGCTGATCATGACGAAAACCATCTTTAATTACTTAAAATTGACAATTTCCTTATTCCAAACCCTGACAGGAAAGCAAAAGGGAGGGAAGCATAAAACAATGCCTAGGGCTCTTGAAAATTTAAGCAGAAGAATCAAAGTCAACGGACCTGCCACTCTTGGAATCCTTGCATACTTTCTGAGTTCAATTTTTTAATAGCAACTACGATTCCAGACCCCGCCTTCGATGGTGTCAGCGTCTTCTCATCCAGCCAACCTTTGTAAACTTTACCAAAACCACCCTCTCCAAGCAACGTATCGGATTTGAAGTTCTTCGTGGCTGCTTTCAAGTCTCCAAAACTGAAGACCTTCAGATTTGGAGATTCTAGAATTTGCCCGCTGGGGGAAGGAAGGGAATCGCCGAGGGTACCACTTGTTAGTTCTGAAAATTGACTCTTTGCAGCACTGCTGTTCGTAGTAGAGAACCCAACGTTCTTACTGTCAGTACTCGCTGAACCTACAGAGGCAAATGGTCAAAGAGAATGGAAATCTAGCTTTGTTTCTCTGGGGAGTTTCACCAATCAGATAGAACCCGTGACCAAGTTTCATCTAATTTTTGTGACCCATGCCGAGAAATCCCAGATCATGGAAAATAAAACCCATTCTCACCTGAATATGGATTTCTGCTGATACTAGACGCCGGTCCCTCATCGTGAGCGAGCGACCCAAAGCATAGACCCATTTCAAGCTCCCAGCCTACAAAGCTAGCATAAAATGGCTCCCGCAAAGCCTGCAACAGCAGCGACGATGGAGGCTTGAGGCTTCCACTTGGCGCTAGCTATGTATCGTTTTCTTTTTGGTTACCACAATTTCTTCCGCCAATTTCCCATTTATCTTCATTACTGTTTGCGGGGGGTCAGTGTGCGAAATTCACATCGCTGCTTCGCTGGCTAGACCCCACATGAGGCCAAAACTTCTCTACCGTCGAAGTTTCGTTTTTTCTTTTATATGTTTGTCACCTTTTTCGCTCCGCTTCTCTGCAGCTACTAAAATAGCTATAAGACTCGCCTCTCAACGACCGCGTGAGAGTTGGGTCAAAACCTTCATCTGTGTTATTCATCCTCTGGGGCCCAGAAAACAACCACAAATCCTTCCGAAGATGATGACTAAACTGAACGACAGAGTTAACTACTCGCTTCAGCTTTAATTTGCTCCTGGTCAAATTCACTTTGGATTGGTCAGGCTTCGCTTTGCACGGTCATTACTGTGCTTGGGATTTTCAAGTCTTAGATTGCCGTCAAAGTGATTGAACTATTTTCACAGAGTTCCACTGGTGGCTCTGGCTACCTGGCCAGCGCCAAGTGGAAGCCTGACAGGCTGACATGTGATAGGAGACAGAGAGGATCCCCATCAAACTTGCACCACGTGATATCATAAAAAAAATTTACATTGCCAATTTTAAATAACAATAGTTAAAAACTAAAAAAAAAATTAAAATATAAATAACAAGACTAATCATTTTCTTTCCATAATTTGTTATTCAAATATTAATAATCGATACAAATGGTTGGCGAACTTAAATTATATCAAAATTTTCAAATAAAGTTAAAGATTAAAAGTACCTAAATTAATTAAACTTTCATGAATATTCAATAAGTACATTAAAAGATAAAAAATTCATGGATAACATTCTGGGCAATAACTTGGACAGCGAAAATGGGACAAGATGTGGAGAATGACCTTTTTTTTTTTTTTTAAGCGAAAAGGATTTCATTCAAAAGAACCAGATGTACATCAACCCAATCTGGTAATGGTAATGTTACACTACCTAACTCGAAATCTCGAATAAGGGATATCTTAATATTAAATATACTGCAATTGTTAATGTTGGATTAGAGATGCTTCATGTATTTGTCAATCTCATAATTGAAGTCAGGGAACCGAGCCTCTCTCAAGGCAATTGACTCCTTCAGATACAAGATAACCCTTTTTAAAGGCAATTGAATTGACGCCTTCCAAAACCATCCAAGACACGCCCACATGACGACTCTCAAGTCCTGTGTTTTTCACATCCCAATATTAAACCTTCAAACTGAAGCTCACCATGGCACCATGTCCCTCCTATCTTTTCATGTTTGAGGAACGAGTTCTAAGCTGAGCACAACAGTGCAATAACCGGCCAAGATTTGACTTTACCAGCCTCTGCGTTTAATTCGTCAAAGCCATATAGAATGCAACGCTCCCATTACATGTGTATTAATCAACTAAAAAAATCAATTCAAGAGAGATCTTCATTGACTTTAATGGAACGGCATAAAGGGAGATAAGCATAAAATTAATATAACGGGGAATCATCTGAGAACAAGGGATATCATTATGCCAAGGAGAAAAAGGTCCCACTGCTCTGCAATCCATACGTATGCAGAGAGAATTAAGGGCCCATTTGGTTCACCGGAATCTTGACTCAAGAAAAGGAAAGAGAATGGAGTTTCTCATTTTCTTAAGTTTGGTTGACATTAAATTGAATTCTTGAGAAATGATTTTCAAGGAAGAGAGTGGAAATTAATTTCTTGAGCTGGATCCATGAAAAATATAATTTTCTTAGAAAATTATTTTCATTGACAAAAATGTCCTTCACTTTTTTTTTTGAATCTCCTTGGTGAACCAGGTGCATCGTTTTTTTCACATTTTCATGCACGATCATTGCCTCCTTCACATTCTTCGATATTGTCTCCTTTCAAATTTCTGGTGTCATCTCTGCCCTCCTTTGTCGACCTTTGCACCATTCTCTCTTCTCTCCATTATTGTGTTCTTCTTCAGTCGTGTGATTCAGCCATGGGAGCAACTCCTTGTATTCGACAAAGAGGTGGGTTGTTGAAGTTGCTCCTCTTACTCACATATCTGGGTCATTGGAGCCAAGTCATTGAAGGCGCCCCTCCTTACGAACGCTGCCCTCCGTTGAATGTCCCCAACCTTGCTGTCATCCCTAATCTTAATGGTGTTGCCAATCATCATCCAAGTTGCAAATTGGTTTCTTCATCTGAGTGCGAAGGTCATAGGTGAAGAGGGTCGAAGGTACTAGGATTAATTTGAGTTTGAAGCTTCCGATTATAGTTACAAATCTAAAAAATGGTGCTGAAACTTTTTCAATCAACATGGTGTTTTTCAAATTTACAATGTAGCCTTCAAATCTAAGCGTGCATATCCTTACGTATTAGAATATGATCCTTGTAACTATGACCAAATTTATGCTTGATTTTCATGGGGATTGGATACGTAAAACTGATGAGAGAGGAAGAAAGAGATGAGGTTGTTGAAAGAAGATGGTGGTAATATTGTCTTTTATTATTTTTGATATTTTATTGTATAAAAATTATTTTAAGATTCCATTAAAATTTTCCAGCCCACCAAACATGCTTCTCTTAACATTTTTCCAATTTAATTTCTAATTCCATTTTCAAATCATTTTTCAGTTTCATTTCGTTTGAAATGTTTCAAGTGAACCAAACTAGGTCTAAATGAAAGGGAAATTTTGTAACATTTCCACTCTTGTGAAGGAGCAATCCTGCCCCCAAGTCCAAGCCCACACTGTTCCAGGACACTGTAGTTGCCACTTGCTAATTTACCAAAGCAACTAGAATTTCTGACTGGAAATTGCCTAGCGTTGGCTGAGCTTCAAATGTCTCCAGGTCAAAGGGAACAAGTATGCTTTAATAATTATTATCAGCAGAGCTGTATACGTTTCAGTGATCTACAGCTTTCAAATGTTTTTGTTTTTGTTTTTTCAACTCTTTGACCTTTTTGACCTAGAGTTCTGTTTGGTCATAGCTCTAGCTCTGTGCCTTCTCTTGAAGACATCCTGCCTGAATCTCTTGGTTTCTCTTTGTATGTCGATGGAAGGTTTCCTCTCAATAACTTCTTTTTCACACTCGAGCATCTTTTGCCTCTTCATCACTGCCATAACAGCAACATCATCCTCTATTTCTTCATTTTCTGCCACTTCCTGCATGTACTTATGGTAAATCAAAAGTATTTAAAAAAATGCATATTTATGTGTGACAGATCATATTTAAATGAAGCATAGGAGCACCAAGGTTGTTAAAAATGAGATTTTTGTTTTAAAACAAATCCAAAAGCCTGCAAATATTTAGTCAAAAACCAAAGCACAAAGCCAGTATAGCCTTCATAATATAAAAATTTATAACTCACGCATACAGAAAGAATTATGAATTAACATCCCGTTTTAAAGTTAAGCATTAAAGAAAGACCATCCGTCTAAGAAAAACTAGAATGATATGTTCGCATATTAAGTATAAATTTCAACCAAATATTTAAAATATCTGTGAGGCAAGACTCAAGAAATCAAGTGTATCTTGTATCACTAAAACAACAAACGAAATTGAAAAGTCATGCATCATGAAGGGTAAAATATACCAGAAAAAGAGTTTTAATCTTGTCATTTTCCCCCTTGTTTTTCTCATCTTCTCGCACACTCACTATTTCACTATTCAAGTATTCCTAGCACACAGGATTTCAAAAGCTACAATATCTAATGAATATATGAAGGTACATGGAGGGAAATCACGTGTCATGTGAAAATATGTTATACCAAACCAGTATATTTTTCTTTCAAATGATTTAGGTCGATTCTTTTTTTTTTTTCCCGGCCCAATCACAACACATGAGGGGGAAAAGAGACATTCAACATGACCCAGAAAAAACCAAATCAATGCACAATATGATGAGTCACAACCCAAGCTCAACCATATGTTACAGTATACATTATGATGAAGTCCATAACATTTTCCATGTCTTCAAATAAAAGCTGCTGCCTATGTTTAACATCAAAGCACTCATTCTCTCATAATACACCATATTAATTATATTCGTTCAACAGGATAGCTGCATTTACATGCACTTAAAAATGAAACTGATGTTCTTTGTCACATATAAATAGAGTTTACTTGAATATCTTATGTATGTATAGCTCTATGCTTAGTGCAACGAAGTCATCAATATAAAAGAGGCAAAGTGAGAAAAGACCTGAAGATCATGAATGAGATTGTCAAGCGATTTAATCTTCCTATGAGGCCAGCGGGGAATACCAAATTCTCTACACTTCCTCTTGAGTACAGTAAGTCCAACTTTTAGATTTCTTGATGCTTCTACAATTGGCACATCAAAGTACTTCACCAGATCTGCTAAAAGAATGCTTGCTACATCTTTACTTGCTGCCCTCTTTTTCTTCTCTATGCGACCTGCATTTGGTTATCTAACCTCTTAGATTTTAATATATGTTCATGACAAAAGAACATTAAAATTATGAAGATTGGCATGTTGGGGGTTGCCTAGTCATATTCTTTGCAACAATGAGCAAGATGAGTGAGGGTACATCATTCGGCAACGCATTTACTGAACTAGAATCTTTAGTTTCCTCAGTTTGAATTAGAAGATGGACTTTTTATATAGCCAAGATTGGGCTGCTGGAACGAGGCGGTGAATAACTTTCAAAATTGAGAATAACCAAATAATGCAATAAACTGGGTCTTCTTTTTTCCCCCTAAAGAATTGGTTGTTGAAGGAGCAAAATGGCATTGTGTGATTCACGTAACCGACCTCAATAGAATAAGGCTTCTTATTGTTGTCGTCGTCGTCGTAGATTCTCCTTTTAATTTTTATATGAATAAACAGAATCCACCTAAATCAATAGACATCCTTAGGATGAGGGAAACAACAAAAGTTTTGCAGCTCCATGAGAAGTTCAATATATATGTTAACCAATAACCACTGTGAATGCTTTTTGATTTGACATAGTATTCAGAGGTCCCACTTTCAGAACCAAAGACTTCAATGCAACAACAAATTTTTCTGGTCATTCACAACTAGAACGTATATATCAATGCCTATATTTCAACACTGTTGAAATAAAGATAGATCTGTCAACACTGCAGAAGAAAGCGTCAAGGCATTAAATGCTAGATAATTTGTGCCAATAATATCATAAAGAGCACTGATACACAACCTTGTAAAATTTCGTCAATAATGTCATTATCTGGTAAATCAGCTGGGTCTAAACTTTCACCATCTGATTCATTCCCTGGTAACTCAGACATCCCTAAACTTTCTTCATCTGCTTCCTTGTCTTGTAACTCAGACATGCCATCTGGGTAAGGAAGGCGATTGAGATCCTGGAGCAAAATTTTTCTTGGCTGATGGCTGTTATTGCTGTTTCTTTGGAATCTTTCATCAGGAGAGATTTGCAGCATATCATTCTCTTTTGATTTACAGTTCAACTCATGTATCATATGGAGATCATTAAGCAATCTTGGGATCATCTGAAGCTTGGGATTGCTGAATATTTTTAGAAGCAATTAAAAGGGGAGGAGGGAGAGCTAGGAATTTTAGATCGTACAAGTAGTAGCACAATAATGTGGAGATGCATTGGACTGTACATTGATACCATGTAAAGTTACCAAATGTGACATACGATACACAGGAAATTGGATATAAGTATGCGCGCAAATGATCCGTTTCACTTTTGAACAGCATTCAGTATATATGACTCTGCAGTTTTTAGATATACAAGAATTTTACTGCTCTATCCTAAAATTATATATATATATATATATAGATATATATATATATATATATATCGGTGGGATCTAAGGGCTCAACACCAAATCATTTAATTAAATAGGCCAATTTAGTAGATAGGTTCTCGTACCTCCAACCGTACGAGGTTTGGAGAACAAGACAAACGGCGTTTAACAAGGACAAATAGATAGGGTTTAACAGATGATGGGTACCTCGCGACTGATAACAACGGAGGAACGCAGGAAGACTGAGGCTTGTGATCGGCGTGAAACGCAAAGACACAAAGCCAGACTCCATTCTGATACCCTTCAGAAACTTCGGAAACACGAAATTTCTGTAATCTAAGAATTGGGGAAGCCCGCATTTCCCCGTATGAGCCACTTCGGGAAAATACAAACTCTCTTTCAACCTCGCTCTCCCTCCCATCCCTCATTCGGTAGACATGCACGCTCCTGATCAGCTCTGGAAAAAAAAAAATTCGAAAATTACCAATCCCCAGCAGGTCCAAAAACATTTTTTTCCATAAAAAACAAAAGTTTCGATCGAAATGATCAACGAAATCTGGAAACCAGACTGTAGGAAATGAAAAGGAAACGAGGGTTGAGTTCATAGTTACCTTCTTTAATGGTGTTCTGGAAGACTAGAAGAGTGGTCGGCAAACAGGTCCCTCCGGAATCCATGAAGATTTTGCGGATATCATGACTATTGGGTACGAAGCAGAGACAACAACGGTGGAGTGATGAAGGGAAACGAATGAGGCAGAAACCAGCTTTTCGAGTGAGTTTGCATGATCCCCCCCCTTTTCTTCTTGCTCGTTTTCGGCTCAATTCAGGGTCCCCCAAGGCGAGTATGGCATTTATTTTTTTTTTAGGAGAATTGACAAGTTAAGTCAAATAAAAAAGAATAAAAAGATAAAAATATTTGGTGGTTAGTCAGGTACAATTAGTATCTTAAATATTCATAATGTTACATCAATATCTTAAATATTTATAATATTACATGAATAGGTGTAAAAATAATCAAACTATTAACTTTAATCTAACACTGTTAACTTTAACCGTTAAATACTGACCATGCATGTTACGTGTCTTTACTAACGTTGACTATAAAAGGAAAAAAATACTCACAAAATTGTTGGCCAAGAGCAAAAATACTTACGAAGTCATAGGCTAGAAGTAAAAATATCCATAACATTATCAGAGTTAGTGCAAAAGTTATCAATCCATCAAATCCCTTAAATGTTGATTGTTTAGCTGACATCTAATCAGATGTTGACTATTTTTTCACTGATGTAGATAAAATATTTTCGGATGAATTTTTGCAAATGTTAATCGATCATCGTATGAATACCCATAATGTTACTTTAGTAGGTGCAATAGTGACTTATCCGTCAAAATCAATGCCGCATGATTTCTTTTCATCGCCGCGTATCTTGCCTCCTTCCTTTCTCCCTCCCCACTCATTTTTCTTGTCAAGAAAATTTAAGATTCAATATAGTGATATGGATTATACAAAATCAAAAATTGAGAATTGAGCACAACAAGTTTAAAAACATTATCACAACCTTAAACAATTATATTCATGATAGGTTCAAAATTTTCAAATAATTTTCGCTATTACTATAGAGAAACAAGCAATTTAATTTGATATTCAATCAAAATAACATTTTTTCACATCATATTCATACAATGCTCAATTAACCTTCAAAGAATTTCATTTGAAAATATTTTTAAAAATAGTTAACTTCTGCTTAAGTATTAGCTAAACATTAAATATTTAAGGGATTTGATGGATTGGTAATTTTTGCACCAACTCTAATAACGTGATGGGTATTTTTTCTCCTAGTTGATGACTTCATGAGTATTTTTGCTCCTAGTTGATAATTTCATGAGTATTTTTGCCCTTTTATTAGTTCACATCATCAAAAACTAACACGTGAAATGCACAGTCAATATTTAATAGTCAAAGTTAAAGACTTTAGTTCAAAGTTAACACTTTCGTCACTTTTGCACCTATTCATATAACGTTATAAATATTTTTACCTTTTTTCTCACTTTAAGATACTGGGTGCCCCTAACTGACTACTTTATGAATACTTTTACCCATTTACTCAATAAAAAATTTTAGTATTATATTAAATTTGAAAATTTTAATATTAAAAAAAATTAATTTAACATTAATTTTTTTAGATCCTTACTTGTCATTCCATTTTTATTAAAAAAAATTTATAATTCCCTCTCATCCATGTTTTAATTTATTTATTAAGTTATTTGTTTCCATTTCGAGTGCTTTTTATATCTGATTAGGTTTGTATTTATTTTAAATTAAAAAAACATATAGTGCTTTTATATCTATTTATAAGGAGGAAAATAATTTGAATAATTAAAATACATCTTGTGAAAGATTTAATTTATGATAAAATTTAAATAACTAGACATATTTTTTTAATATTATTACTTCTATAAACAAAAAATATTCATATGGTCAGATTAACATTACAATTTAAGTTGAAACAACTAGTTGTAAGAAATATGGTGCAATTTAATGAGAAAAAAAATTAATCTCTCAATCCCTATAATGATACACTATTTTTAATCAAGTCCCTCAAAAAAAATTTCTTTTTATTATCTCATTCTAATTACATCTCGTATAAACATTAGTCCCTATAAATAAAAATGGTTAAAGAAAAACACATTAAGCTTATAACAACAACGAAAAGCAATGACGCAATTGATAGCTGAATCAATTTCAATAGATACTCTAGTTATGAGAGCATCACAAATGTCAAGTAAGACAAACAGAGGCTTTGTTCTATTTTGTGACAACAACAATAGCAATATCAAACATAGTTCATCGACTAAATTGGTAATGGCAGGTATGTTGAGAATTAATAACAATATAAAATGTTTTGTTATTGTTTAGACCTAAAATGAAACATCAATTGATAGAAGCCTAAAGAAACAAAAGAGGAAATGTCAGGCCTAATAAGCTATCATTTAAGATAAGGCCTAATCTACCTCAAGGCGAGCTTTTAAGTTAAACACATGTTGAGTTGGCGAGAGTAAACCTTGAGATCTAGAACGACCAAGCGTAGCAGAATGTTATTTGGATGCGGGCCATTATCTCAACATACCCCAAATCTCACGAGATCATGCCAAACTAAGTAAGCCCTGAGTCGTGAAGGAAACGTGACCCTTAAGATTCAAAGTGACAAAATCAAGGAGATCATTATTTAGATATGGGACTATTACTTGGACATGCTCTGAATCTCACAAGATCGTGCCATATATAGTTGATATTTTAGCATACGAGCTTTGGACATTACAAGACCAACAAACTCAGACCAACAATATAAATAGAGTTCCAAAGAGAAAAAAAGGCAATAACAAACAATCAACAACTCAAACATTTCATAACTCAAATTATCATTTACTGTGTATTTAGAATCCATTCTTATTTCAATTCCTTATAGTTCTGTAACTTAGTTTTAGTAATCAAACTATATTTTCTCAATTATCCTTGCATCTTCGCGTTTGAGTAAACTAAGGTAAGCGAGCTCGGAAACCCTTTATTCACATTTAAGATTTCGCGTCTCTGGCACGTCTAGTAAGCATTCAAACATAAACAGTTTGTTGTAGTTATTGTGTGTGTGTTAAGAGAAGAAGTCCCACATTGTCCACATGAAGAAAGCTCATAGCATATAAATACTAAGGAATGAAGTGGGTTAGAAAAATAGGTTTGGAGGAGAAGTGAGCTTGCACACACGAAACAAGCCAACTTAGGATAATCGTAATTGAAAACATTCAATTCACCCTTGCAATTGAGTTAAACAGGCATTGGGTTCCTTTTACCGGATTACTTTTACAAAAAAATAAATAATTATTTATTTAAATTAGCTTATTAGAAAACCTTATTTTTTGGTTGATTAGAGTTTGAATTCAAACCTTAAATGTTTTCTGGCTTTAACCAAATTTTTAAATGAATTAATCAATTTCTTAAACATGTATGTTCCCTAATGACTCCAGACAATTGTTTAAATGTGTTTTGTGTGTGTGTAATTGAGGTTTAATGGTGGATTAATTTGGTGATTATGAAAATGCGTTCATGTACAGGATTTCGACCTTTATATAGGCATGCATGCAGACTAAACTTTCTGCCTGGCTCTTGAGTTTTCAAGTATCTTCTTTCCTCCTCTGACTTTTGTCCTATGCTAGTTTGTCTAGGTTATATTGTTAGTGTTTGTTGTTATGTTTCCTTACATTTGCAAGACAAGCTTGTTTAATCTTGAGGAGATGCCGGTCTACTATACTAATGGGCTGAAATAGTTCTTAAAGATAGTATCATTTGGCATGACTCAAGCTTCATTTTCCTACCCACCACCAATAATCTTAAGAACTAATATGGCATCCAATACTGATAAAATTGTTCTTGAGGAGGTCCCTATTAGAGATCAGTTCATCCTAGCTGCTGTTGCCATCCCCTTACTGAGGCCATTCCCAAACATTTCAAAGATAGAAGTCTTTGATGGCAAGAATTTCAAATGCTGGCAGAAACAAGTCTTTACCATTCTTGATATACATGGTATAGTTGTTACTCAACCTGAGCCCGCTACTAATGCTAATCCAGCCCATAGAGTTGTATGGACTCATACAAATAAGGTATGCCAACATACTATCATTAGCACTTTATCTAATAATTTATTCAATGTCTGTTGCATCTACAAGGAAACTTATAAGACATGGGGGTCCTTGGTGATAAAGTACACTGTTGAGAATGCTGGCAAGCAAAAGTTTGTTGTGGGAAACTACTATATGTAATCTCCCTAAAGTTAAACCATAATTAACTCCAATACATTGTAATCCGAGTTTTTAAAAGAAGAATTTCTCAAAATTAATTCAAAGGAATTCTAATTTGCCATTTTAAATCCCATACATAAATTTAAGGACTCCAAAATCAAAGTTTTAAAAACAAACGGAAGCTTGAAAATCAATTGGAACCTAAATAATGAGTTTTAAAACTCAAAATAGATTTTCAAATAGAATTTGACATATGCACCGCAGCTTACAGTTTGTGCACCGTGGTGTGTCTTCTCTGTGCCATGCACCGCAACGCATTGTACGAAATTTGACAGATCAGTGCTATCATTTGACAGCATAGGAAGTGAACTTTCGACAAGTCTTAAATCTTCGTTCGACGTTCAATTGAGGTGGTTTTGATGTCTACATAGAGCTTTCTCCTAGCTTTAGCTAATGGCACCAGTTTCATACTCAAATTCATTTTCCATCAAAAGTTAGACACTAAAACCCATTTTAACACATTTTCACACGTGCCAATAGCCTACATCAAAACCACACTCAATGGACTCTTGCGGACTCATATAACACCATACGCAATCAAATATACTTATTTCACAAAATCACCACTCAATCCCAATTTTCACAAAACATAGAGAGGGAGGAAAAGTTGCACAAAATCAACCATTTCATTCATATTTCTCAAAAATACATATGTTCATACTTGCATAAGTATTTTAGCCTTATCCTCGGGTTCACAATAAAAAATCACTAACCCAGGGCACAAAATACACTAGTTAAATACAAAATCATATAAGTAGTACACCAATCATGGCAATTAATCCTAGTTGAAAATTATATTAACAAATACACATGAAAACAACTAAAGAGAGGCATAAAGAGGATTTGCTCCACAAATCCTAAGCCTCAGTATGTTTTCCCTAACTTGGATCTGATGAGCTAGTCCCTAAAAATATTGACAATTGAGGGGTGAGTATAATTACTCAGTAACCAAGTTTCACTTAATCGTTACAGTTACATATTAATTATAAATA